ATGATATCCCAGACGCCTTGTATAGTATGAATGTGTTGGACTGCGGTTGACTATTCGTACTGTACGGCGGATTGTTGACGTGTCCGGATAGGTCCGGGGTGTGACACAAATTCATACGGAGCTTGCGGTTCATCAACGGGATTTGCGGGACCAACGGCGGGCTATTGAAGGCATGGGGAGTCATCTTTGGAACATGAACTACTACTGCCAAGAGTTAGGGCGGCACTTCAGCATTCCACCACCGCCACCTTATGACCCGCACTTTTATTTCCCTCCCCAAGGAGATGGAAATGAAGGGGATGAGTAGGTTATGAAAAGGGAAGTGTACTAAAAATACTAAACTTGAACCACCTTTTCTTTGTTTTTCTTTAAACTCCTTGTGCTACTTTTGTGCCTATTATGTGTTGTTTGATTGCTTATTTTCTTGCTTTGCATTTAATTACTCTTGTGCTTCACATTGGGACAATGTGGAATAAGGGTGGGGGGTGACTTTATACTTGAAAATTGTGCAAGTTTTTTTGGAAAAAATTGTTCATTTTTGGTCCATATTTTTTGGAAAATATTTTAGCAAAACCCTTGTCCTTCAAACCCTTTTTCAAAAGAAACTTTTCTTAACGTTTTGCCTTAATATTTTCATAGAAAGTTTCGAAATTTGCTTGAGGACAAGCAAAGCTCAAGTGTGGGGGTATTTGATAAGCGTTTTATTAACGTGTTTTACACAATCATTTATAAACGCTTTTATACTTAAAAGAATTAAATCTTCACACATATGCCTCGTTTTGCTAGAAGTTCTTTAAATCAACAAATGGATCAAATGCAAGGATGGTAGAATACACACGAAGAAACCGACGGAAAAAGGTCAACCAAACGCATCCCGAGGAACAAATAAAGACCACAAAAACGCCCAAGACAGACGAAAGCCGCCCGGTTTATGCCAAAGGCGGCCGGCCTTTGGTCCCCAAGCTTATTTTCGCATCCAAAGCTGGAAAATCTGATCCGGAGCAAGAAAGGACGAAAGCCGCCCGGCTTTCGTGAAAACCGGCCGACTTTTGGTCGCCGAAGGAATTGTTCAGAATTTAATTACAAAAAAACCGCCCGGCTTTTGTAAATGACGGCCGGTTTTCGGGCCCTGGAGCGAAGGCAGACTATTTTAAACGCGCAAAAGCCGCCCGGCTTTTGCGAATGTCGCCCGGTTTTCGTCTGGCACTGATTAAAACAGGCAACGGTCATCACAATCATTCGAGAGAAGCTCCAAACCCCATTAAGGAGCTTGCTTCCTTGTCCAAAAATGGCCGTTGAAGACCCAATATTTAAGCATATGGAAGCCCTCTCAAGTGATTATTCCATATTCCATACACTTTACTTCCATTTTAGCACTCCAAGATCAACCCCTTGGTCTTGGGAGAAGTTCTACACTTGGGGATCCCATTATCCACCATAGCTTTGGAGTTGTGGTATTATCTTTATGTATTTCATTGTATTTCATCAATTCAATACTTGTAATTTCATTATGAGTTGCTCTAGCTAATTTTCCATAGCCAAGGTTAGGGATGAAACTTTACGCACTCTAGGTGTTTGATGTATGTTCTCAACCAAATTATTATGATCTTTCCTTTATATTTTAATGTGTATGACTACGGTGTACAACGTATGATTATATCGTTGGGTTTATTTGAGCAATTAACGTTGAGTTATAAACCGTGCACTTAAAGGCTAGACATATTCTAATTGTGGATAGAAATATACCTCAATTGAATATGGTGGTTGTAATAATGTCCTAATCTTCAATGGGGTTAATTTTAGATGAATGTGAACCGTGACGGGATTCACACGTAGAATTAATCACAATCTCGCTGCCGTAACAGGTGTTAGAATACTTTAGCGACATTCCACTCATAAGAATTGGTGAAAGAATATACATTAATCGCTAGGAGTCGTTTAGGAGTAATCCCGAACCCTTGGTTGCTTTTATTATCACTTGAAAAACCAAAAATCTTTACTCTTTTACCAAGTCTTTTACAAATTATATTCTCAATTTTTGAATCATATAAACAACGTTTCCTCGTGTTCGACTCGGTATTTTTACCGGATTTTATTACTACATCGGCACTTGTACACTTGCAAGTTTAAGCCGATCACTTTATCTCCCACACTTCTCTAGGACTCGATCGGTATGTCATCTGCGCCCACTACTTTATTCCGCTCCATCTTTCTCAGGGTCTCTTTAACTTCTGTCATTTGGATCTTTCTCACAAAGTCTTTATTTACCATAGACTCTAGTATAGTAAGATCATCAATTAATACTCTTTGATCAACATCATTCACACACTTAACTTTTCCGATATCTTGAGTCATACGACCACGAAGGCGAGCAAGTTTATAAATATCTTTTCCTCTTTCCTTAGAGCCCAATTTTACATACAATTCCTTGTTCACTTTCCATCTTGCTTCAGTTTCCGCTTTCTTTACTTTTCCTTTATCCTCTTTGTACTCCTCTATGTTCTCATCACTCCAATTATTGTCCAACTTTTTGTAGCATTCCCTTTTGGTCTTTATTGCTGGTTTCACCTTATCATTTCACCAATATGTGACTTTTTGTGGCAAACATTCTTTAGATTCTTCAAGTATCTCCTTTGCTATTTTTTTAATGGTCGACTCCATTGATAGGCACACATCGTCTACATGTGCGTCATTATCAATACATCATGCATCTTCCTCCAGCATTTTGTGTGCAAAACTTTGTTAGAGATCCCTGATGGAGTATATGGCCCAGGAACCCCCGGCCCATAGACTCCTACTTCTCCTACACAAGTCCATTGAGCCCAGAGAACAACTCAGGCCCAAATGCAACGACCCAAGCCTCAAAGTAGCCCAGAATACACACTGGGGTGCCTTCGGCCTCCTTGGCCGAAGGGTCCAAAACTCACAGGATAGCCTTCTCTGGCATAAGAAGCTTACGGGAGAGAACGGCGAAAAACCTGAGCCTTCGGCATTATCAAGCCCTCGGCATCAGAGAAGCCTTCGGCTGAACCTAGCCTTCAGTCACACAGGGCCTTCGGCTACACAGGGGTCCTTGGTCACATGGAGCCCTCGGCTACACAAGGAGCCTTCGGCCAAACATGCTCAATCATCGGAGATTCCTTTTGGGGACAGCCAACCACCGCATTTAATGCTACGTCACATCCGCCAACCGCATTCAATGCGGTGAACGTATCACTGCCGGTGCCACCCGACTGATGTGACCCCTCGGCCGTTGGATTACTGACACGTGTACTCTCATCGCATTTATTGCTGCTATAAATAGCAACTCATTTCTCCTTGTAAACGATCTACATCCAACTCCCACATCTCGAGTTCATTTAATAAAATCGACTCTCTCTCCTCCTATTTTGCTCTGACTTCTCTCTAGTTATTCCCACAATAACCCCTCGGATAAGATACCCCCCGGGTAGACTATCCATCAATCCCCATCGAGTCTCCATCACTTTATCTTTGGGTCTACTTATACCTTATCTCAGTCTTCTCTTTTTACCTTAAAAATCAAGCACAAGCATCCTATGGTGAGTGATAGCACTCTCACATGAGATGACCTTACAAATCGTTCATACTAAAAAGTTGTCAATTTGGGTACTATTAGTTCCACTTTCTTAAGTCATAAGGTGAGAGTTTCTTTTCTTGAACCAAGTGTTAATTACAGCCAACTCATATGTCGGGGCAAAATCCAATATGTTCTTTCCCACTTCATTTTAGTGCCAAAATCATGCCTCACATGGATACTCTCAAAATCGTCACGAGTTGGGCCCACATGCCCGTTGAGGTTGCCTCCTATGACCAACTTCTCTCCCATTCGCACTCGTCGCACCACTTCCTCAAGATCTTCCCAAAATTGTTGAGTGATAGATGCATCAAAATCCACTAGTGGTGCATAGACACTTGCGATTAACATGATCTCATCTCCTATTACCAACTTAATGCACATGATGTAGTCGTTCTTCATAAAGACTTCCATCACACCCTTAACATAATCACGCGCCACAATAATGCTTAACCATTTTTGTCTTCTCTCTCCCCGAATACCACAGTAACCAAAAACAACATTACCACAACCGCAAAGGCTGTGGTAATGGGGCCTACCTACAAAACAATCATCTCTATATTTTGAACTGATATAACTTTTTTGTTTGTACTCGGATTATTATAAAAAATATACGGAAAATGGAAACTAATAATCCAACATTTTAGCGGTCTTCTTACAATAGTCCCACCTACGGTGAGGTAAGGGGGCCGAATGTACGCAGTCTTACCCCTATACTAAAACACAGACAGACTGTTTCTAAAATGCCACAACTTAAAACCTTTGGGATTAATCTCACGTGCATTTTCTCCGACCCACTCATCTTCTTGCACACACATGATGCTGATATTCCTCCTCAATTTATTTGTGTATTCAATTTATTGAAGTTCTATTCTAAAGAAATTGCTCAAACTAGGAGAAAGTATAGCGAAAGTTGTAAGATAGGACCAATTTACGTTTTCTTCCTAAACAAGATTTATTTAGTCCTATTAAAAATCCCTAAACTAAGATTTATTTAGTAGTGTACAAGTTCTATTTCGGAAAGAACACAATATCTCTTATTTGAGAAATTTTGCAATATTTCACTCCTATTTAGTGAGCTACATCTTTTCTTTAAATTTTTATACATTAATTATGTAATGGGCTTATGGGCACTAGTTCATCGACCAAAGTTGTATTTTATTTTAGAGATGAATGGATGACATAGCATTCATGTGTAATTAAATGTTTTAGAATATGATGTTGGTCAATTTTATTTTAGAGATGAATGGATGACATAGCATTCATGTGTAATTAAATGTTTTAGAATATGATGTTGGTCACTTGAACGGGAACCTTTGCACACTAGTTGAGCTCTTGATAACGTTTTTTGCGTATCTTCGTTTAGGTGACTTGTTATCTTTTTAATTAGAAGAAAAGCACAATGACAGATGCCTTGTGGTGTCATGTTGACAATATGGGCCAAAATGGCCATTCCACCTCTCATTGGTTTACAATCCTAGCCACATCCTCATGTACAACAAATCTCTCAAGTATAATCGTCTCATTCCTCAATACAAGTTATACAACAAGAATGCTAGGTAAGCCAACAAGAAATACAGAATTGTTGCTTCCATGCACCATTTCTACGACACTAAATACAACATATACGTGTATCATGATAATCAATGAACAAATGAGGAACATGTACTCTGAAGCAATTAAGATCTCACAAACCAGAAGCCACTAGCCCATGTAAAGTGACAATACCTATCAATACATTCTCATCATTAATAACAGGCAAGAATTGGACAGGCGAAGGCGGTGATTCCATTTTCTGCATTGCTTCAACTGCCATTGCATCAGGGCCAATGGTTCTTGGTTGTCTGCAAAAATTGAATCACAGATTGATTTATGCATTAAGAGGGAAAATATATGATAAAACCCAGTCTAAAACACACTTAATTGTGTGATTAGAAAAACATGAAGCTATACTATCCAACTAGTGAAAGGTTTAACCTAGGTAACAAAGCACCAAGTCCAGTCCGATAATTGCAAGACGCACATCCCAAATGATCTTTGACATAAAAAAAAAAAAAAAAAATGATCTTTGACATAAAAACCTCTCAGCTACACAATGCTTTCTAAACGTTAATTAAAATAACCAAACAAAACATACCGAGTGTCCAAAACAATCCAAACCAAAGTTTAAAACACATTTGAGAGAGGTGCAACCTAGGGAATGAAACACCAGCTCCAGTCCAATTGCAAAATAGCCACATCCCAAATGATCGTTGACATAAAAACCTCTAGCTACACAAGGCTTTCTAAGCGTGGATTGAAATAACCAAACAAAACATACCGAGTATCCCGTTCTGAAGTAGGGATCTAGGGAGAGTAAGAGCTATGCGGATCGTACTTCTACCTCTAAGAGTATAAAGGCTGCTACCATGAAAACCACGGATAAAGAAAATTTGGAGTGTGTTGAAAAAGATGTTAAACATTTGAAAATTATGCATAGATTTCAAAATTATCATAAAAATGATGTAGTATAGGTAAAAGGTAGTATGAATACTGTGGTGAAAACCGTGGACAGAACAAGCAAAGGGAAAAAAATAGCACAAAGCAGCTTCAATAGGACAGAACAATGAAAATTAGGAGAAATAAATAAGCAAGCAAGTAAGAAAGCAAGGTAGTAACTAATTCCCTCACAACAAACCTGTCACTAGCATGCTAAGATCATCTAACTCTCCACAGAGGTTGCTCTCAAACATTGCACTGCACTAGAAAATCTAGTTCTTGCGAGTACAGTTAGTAGCACTCCAAAACTATCTTTAAGGCAATCTATTATCCGTTTGGGTAATATTATGGATCTACATGAAAGTAACTGTTTTTAACAAGTCAAAAGAACTCTATCAGGGTCGGCCTATCAAGGAAATCTGTAGAAAAACAAGTGTTTCATTGATGTTTCATACTTCAAATTTAAACCCTTCTTGGATAAATAGCACCTATACATAAGTATATCACAAACATTTCACTAACTTCCAAAATCACTTCTACTGTATTTGAGGGCCAGGAAGATATTAATGTGGCAGGGCTTTTAACCCATCCGAATAGGGATTGGGATGCAGATATATTAAACGAACTATTCAATTACAGAGACAGGAGTTTAATCCGAGGCATTCCACTGAGCAAGTGGATAGTAACTAATCAAAAAGTAGCTAGTTAATCATTACTAAAATATCTGGTTTCTCTAGTCAATAATAGAAATGATAAGGCTACCAAATGTGCACATAATGTCCCCAAACCATACTACAAGGTGCAGCGTCTAGCCATAAACATGAGCAAACTACAGCGAATCACAGAAGAGTTAATTTTAGGTACCAGAAAAGTCATACAGTTTCTTAAATGGGTAAAATACACAATGAATACAACTTTTATGGATATATTCACAAACACAAATACCTTATACTGAAAAGGCACTGCATTCCATATAAAGCAGAAATAAAGATAATGCATGTCAAATAACATCTTGAATATGTAACAATCTGGTCAGAGAAAATCAATTAATCACCATTATCTGGTGAGGTAACTCTACCTTCATATTCGAACTTTCCTTCTTGGTACATAATACTTGGAATGCATTCTACCCAACCATAATAAAATATGTATATAGACCAGAAGAGGCACGCATTAATAGAAATATTTTATCCTACTTTTCATATGTTGCTGTTGTGTCATTCCTCCTTTTGATTGGTTGATTTCACGTGAATCCATTTTAAACTTTTGATAATATTAATGGGCATCAACCAATCAAAAGAGTGGCACACAAATGAGACATGAATGGTTAGGGAAAAAGAATTAGGGATATTTTTTATTACTTATGGGCTTTAGGCCTTATAATTATAAATTATAAGGCCTCTTATATATGCATGATAAATTCACTTAACCAATACACTGTATTTTAAGAGATTACCTGTTACACATGTCTCCAACAGTAAGCTTGAAGATCGCTTCACCACTAGCTTTCAATGTGCGTCGCAAGTCACCATCGGTAAATGTCCCTAGCAGATGGTAATCACAATCGATAACAAGGAGGCATCCACATCCTTTACTAGTTAATTCTACTAGCTGGTCCATAATAAGATCTCCTTCATTACAAACTGGAAGTTCTTTGTTCCTCTTCATTACATCCCTCACCTGTGATAATAGCGCACTCGCATTAATCAACTCTGATTGTTTCTTGAAATCGATATATACACAGAGATCATTAGTCGCATAATCTATCTGCTTTGAAAATTCATGAGAAAATAATAGTTGTTCATCATTTAACAAGTATTTCAATGTATTCCCACACTAATCAAATATATATTCAACATTTATTTAACTACTCCCTCCGTCCCATAAAATTCTTCCCAATTTGACTTGGATCAAAGTTTAAGAAAGTGAGCATAAAGTGGAAATGTATGATTGTGATTGAAAATTTTAGTCCAATTAAAAACACCCTTAGAAAAAAACTTTTCACTTCTGCAGTTTAAGACGTAGTACAAAATTACTTTGTATATGATCGTGTTTTCTACCCACCCTTTAACTATAATTTAGGGATCAAAGATGCACACTGTTTATCACCTTCAATTTCTTGAATTATTTTATTGAGCTTTTACTTTTTATTTTGATTTATTGAGTGCTTTTACTTTCCAAATCTATCACAATGAGCCTTTGTGAAATCTTTCTCAACATTTTCCCTGCAATATACTAAGCGCTCTACAAGGCCTGGACAAGATAACCCAGTTATGGTAGCGTTAATCAATAACCAAACGGCTCATGGATTTGGACTTGACATATAATAACACCATTAAATCAAATCATTTGAAATATACTATTGAGGCATCATCCCATAATTCATTAAGCGGATGTTTATAAAGGGTTTTAGGGCTACACATGATAGATTTGAAATACAAAAAGAATCAACAAAATATAGGACTAACAAACAAAATAGGTCAGAACTCAATTGAAAAACCTAGGACAAAATAATGTGTTTTCCGTTTATGGATTTGAGTAGGGAAAAAACTGCACATAGTTTATGCAATATATTGATGAGGAGAGAGAAAATGATGATATGAATGAATGTTAGTAAAATAGGCAGGAACATTCAAATAAATGACAGCCTAAATAAGGAATCCAAAAGTTCTCATAACTGAACACCAAATGTGGCATCTAAACGGGCTTGCAATTGCAATTGGTTTAAAAAAAGAATGCATCACAAAAAGGAAAGAAGAATCTTGCCAACGAGAGCAACTGAGATGACAGTGATTGGAAAGTAAGAGCATAGACTTCATTTTATCTTTTTAATCAAACGATTACTTCGTATATTTCACCGCTAACTAACAATGAGATACCAATACAGAACACAAAATGACATCAAAAGAAGAAAACGGAAGCATAAATTGGCACAATCATGAACCTCCCGAATATGAACAGAAACCGAGGAAGTAATATTCCACCAAATCACATGATCACTGTGCACGCATAGCCAAGAAAACAATAAACGAATATAGAATGTAGAGATCCAATTGGAGGGAGAATAAGGCAATTTTGATTCCATCACCTTGAAGATCAAGCTCTTCCCGATTCTGCCAGCTGGGTGGTTGGCAGCGTAATCATCGCGGCTCAAGTTCCTTGCCGCCATCAGAGCAATCGCCACCGTATCTCCGAACACCATCTGAATGGCGGTGGACGTCACAGGGGCCAAATCGAAAGGGCACAATTCTCTCTCCAAAGGCAAATGCACGCTGAGATCGGAAACACTCATCAAGGAATTGGGCTTCACCGAGGTTACCGAGATCAGAAACACCCCTTTAGCCTTCACGAATGGAACAAGCCTAACCAACTCCTCCGTGCTCCCGCTCTTGCTGAGCATCACGAGCAGATCCTGGGTAGCCAAAATGCCAATGTCTCCGTGGAGCGCGTCAAGAGGGGACAATACCCCGGATTTGATACCCAAGGAGACAAGAGTCTGGGAGATCTTCTGGGCGACGAAGCCGGATTTTCCGACGCCGGTGAAGAAAATGGTGCCCTTGGCGTTGAGGAGGGTGTGGGCAAACGTTAGTGTCTGCGAGAGATCGAGGTTCTGGAAGAAATGGTTGAGGTACTTCTGCTGAGCTTTGAAGAGGTTCATCAAATTGGTCGGATCAATATCCGTGGATTCTTGCTTAGAGCATACGTCAATTGACAGAGACCCCATTTTCTCTTCTCTGGTTTCGCGCTCCGGTTGGTTTGACCAAGGAGAAGAATAACACAGTTCATACGTAGATCAAAAGACGTTCTCTGAGCACCTTCATAAATTCTTAGCGCACCTATGGATTATAATTTGATGGGTAATTTTTCATAATGGCACATAAATTATAAATTGTACATGGCATGTTTATACCAAGCACAGACATTTTGGAACAATTCTGTGTGAAAATGCTTGATATACACCGTTTTGTATACATCATTCACACACATTACCTGCCTACGCAGATTGAGTTGTCTATATATTGACAATCATGTCTGAAATTATAAAATTGTATGTATATAGACAACGTTGTTTGCGTGGATTGACAATGTGTGCGACAGTGCGAGTGGTGTACGCAAAATGGTGGTCACCAAACATTTCTTATTCTATATACACAGACAACTAGGGAGTCTGTACAATTTATATACAAAGGGTGTTTTCCTTTTCAGCTGTTTTCAGTCCTAGATCAAACCAGATCGGACAATACCAGATTTAAATAGATGAGAGCAGACCATGTCACACTTACACAGACCAGATCAGACCAAACCAAACAAGACTTTCATATATAGTTGTATAATACACAGATATCATACATTTACCGAGTTAGACCAGACCAGACCAGACTGAAACAAACCAGACTTGATCACACCAGACCAGCAAATTCCAGTTCAAAAGAAAACATCCTCATATTATTGTGTACAAATCTAGTTTTCCTAATTTAATACTCAGGAGTTCGTATGTCTCTACTAGGGGTGAGCATGGGACGATACAAGACGATTATTTCAAAAAAACTTGTACCATCTCAAATATATATATAACGTTTTCTGTTTTGTACCCATTTTCAGTACGGTTCACTACGGTACAGTGCAGTTCTTCTGTACTATTCGACTCCTAAATAATTAACTCTCAGAAAGTCAATTTTTTTAGATTTTAGGATTTGTAAGTAACTAAATTTGTGCAATTATAATATAACTGAAATACAAAACCGATAGCAAACTATAACAAAATTATAGTTCCGGTCTTCTGGAGGATGCAGAGCAGTAAGGTTGTCGACAAAGTAATTAAACCAGATTTAAGTGTTTTGTATCATAATTATTACTAGTATTGTTTATGAAATTTAGTACGCTAAATAGTTATATTGGGGGAATCAATAATGTGCATTATATGAACTATACAAAAGCTTTGGTAACCACAGTGTAGATTATTGGCTAATATAATAATATAATACTTCGTATATATTATTTTGAATAGCCAATTTTTCCGAACGATACATGACAGTTTGATTCAATACAGTTCTGACTTCTGAGATGGTTCTCACTTAAGAACCGGTATCGTACCATATTATTGAAAAATTTCGGTACGGTACAATATTGTATAATATTTTTCCGATTCATTCGATTTTGGTATAGTTCGAGATGGTTCTCGATAGAGAACGGAAAATCCCATATTCGTGCTCAGCCCTAGACCCTAGTCTCTAACGTAGTCTCTAACCGTCTAACGTAGCCCAGTAGTTTATTTTTGGCTAGGTTATTGACCTATAGTTCTGCCCAGTAGTTTTACGTAATCTTTTTTGTTTCTATAAAAACACATGTTATTTTGATTTTTTTTTTATTTGATGTTTAAAAAAATGCTGGTTCTCGTTATCATTAAAAAATTATTATAAATACTAATAAAAATCCAAAATGTTTGTACAGGCTCTTAAACTTACCTAATGAAATAGCGGGTGAACCTGAAGGCTATTTGAATAATATAATACGAGGTGTTTAAATCTACCATTTAAAATTGTTCCCGCTCCAAATTACAGAAGCATGTGTTACATTTTTGGGGTGAAAGTGTCGAATTACTTTTAAGTATTTCAAATTAATTCTAAAAACTGTTTTTGAGAAAGTAAAGGAGATCAGCTTTTGAATATCAAATTGTGATTCTAAAAAAAGATGACACCCCATCTCTGAGGGCCCCCAACACCGACCGGACGGCACGACGGGAGGATGTAAATTGGACTATAATCACAATCTGACAGATAGAGGGTGGGGCTCTGTCCCCGGTATTTGCAGAGGCCCTATGCATTTTTCATCATAGTAACCCCTCATCGCAGTTGTCGGGATTCGAACCCGAGACCTAACCCTTATGGCACTCCCTCGCTACCAGTTGAGCTACGCCCACCGGTTCAGATTGTGATTCTACTTCTATATTTATAAATGAAGAGAAACAGAATCAATTTCAAACAACCCAATTATTCCTAAAAACACATCTATGAGGTAGTGGTTGGCCCGGACCGGTACTATTTGTACCCGGCCCGACCCGGGAACCGGTCTGGGTGCCGGTTTGGGCCACCCGACCCGGGCGTGTAGCGGTGCGGGCTCGGTCACTAGAAATGACGAACCGGCCCGGCCCGGGCCTTAACGGCTATTTAAAAAAAAAAAACAACAGCCCCTCCTAGCCGTTGGGACTATTCCCAAACGGCTCTAGGGGGTTATGGGTGGGGAAGATACCAAAAAATCCTATTTATACTCCTATTTTTTATACATTTTTTACACCATCTTCATACAATCCTACTCTCTAATTCTCTTATTCTCTATTCTCTCATACTCAAATACTCAATCATCTTCATCTTCATCTTCTCCAATTATCTCTACATTACTACATATATATTATTTATATAATTATTATTATATCTACTTATATATTAATTATCTACTTATATATACATATTATATTACTAATATTTATTATCTACCTAATATATACTTATTATTTTTCTTAATATTTACTTTGATATCTACTTATTATCTATACTTATTGTTATTTACTTATATTTACATATTACATTTAGTTAATATATACTTATATATATATATATATATATATATTAAAGTATTAAATATAAGTGTATTACTCATCTTATAGTAATATACTTATATATTATATATTTAAACATTATATTATATATTAGTTATACAATTATATTAGTTATACTTGAATTCATAGTAATTAAATTCATCATACTTACTTATACACTCACACTCCCATTAATTATTATACACATTCATACATTTTTTCTATTACTTACAATTTTTTTTTATTAATTGTTACATTATCATTAAAGTATAAAACTAGTTAATTGTTGCATTTTTCATTTCCCTATTAGTTAATTTGTTAATTGTTACATTTATCATTTAAGTATAAAACTAGTTAATTGTTACATTTTTGATTTCCCTATTAGTTAATTTGTTAATTGTTACAATTCTCATTAAAGTATAAAACTAGTTAATTCTTACATTTTTCATTTCCCTATTAGTTAATTTGTTAATTGTTACATTTCTCATTAAAGTATAAAACTAGTTAATTGTTACATCTTTCATTTCCCTATTAGTTAATTTGTTAATTGTTACATTTTTCATTAAAGTATAAAAGTAGTTAATTGTTACATTTCTCATTATCCTATTAGTTAATTAATACTTGTCTCGTTTAATTTTTGAAGATTTAAACTACTTAATTGTTACATTTTTTATTATCCTATTAGTTTATTACTTGAAGATTTAAACTACTTCATTGGCTCATTGCTACCTTTTTCAATTATTAAATAAAAACTAGTTAATTGTTACATTTTAATAAATTACTTGTTATTTTAATAAACACACTCAAAGGATTCGAATTTCATTACTCCTATTTTAAAAAATTAAATGCACTTGTTATTTTATTAAAGTACTTGGAAATTAGCTATAATTTTATTAGTTGCATTTTATTAGTACTATTGTACTCATATTAAAATATTTGATATAATTTTATATTTGTTACATTTTAAAGATGGACCGTGGTAGACATTATGTAGATATGGGTAATCTCCAACGCAGCCGAAAGAAGGAGATTGCGACAACTCATCCTAGTTTACGCAAAGGCAAAGGTAAAAGGCGGGCCGGGTCTTCTTCTCAAAGTGGAGATGATTTTGAAACGGATTACCAACGGAGAGATGAGGATGTGATGTCCGACGAGCAACTACAACAACTATTGGCGCAAAATGATGGCCACTTTTTCCATCAACAAAACATCCCAGAGTCCATTGACGAAGACGAGCTCGAGGATGAGGATGCGGAGGAGGATGAGGGGGGCGACGGCAGTCACGCCACCCCGGATGATGAGCAAGAGTTGGAGGACGAGGGTGGTTCATCCCAAATTGGTAAGAATTCTAAAGCTCCTATGATAGAAAATAATTTTACAAAGAGGAAAGACAAAAAAACCGAGAAATGGTACGCAAGTTGCAATCATTGCAATAAGGAGTATAGCTTGGGAACTTCCGGCGAATACGGGAGCCTCACAAGGCATCTTAAGTCCGCGCACTTGGTGGAGTATGCGAAAATATCGAAAGACAAGGGGAAGCAAACTCAAATATCGAGGTTTGCAAATAACCAACCTTTTGGTAATTTCTCATACAATGATGCACAAAATTTGATTGGTATGGCTAACATGTTGTAGAAAATTTGCCTTATTTGTTTGCTAAAGTCTTGCTTTTAAAGATTATGCACAAACTTGTTTAAATCCTCAATATAGAGGTTATAGTCGCATAACGGTTAAGAAAGAAATTATAAGGCTTTATCGTGCGGAAAAAGGCAAGGTTACAAATTTTTTTTTTGCAAACTTTGATGGGCGTGTTACTATTTGTTCTGACATATGGGAGGATACTTATCATAATTTACATTATTTGGGTCTGACTGCACATTTTATTGATGATGATTGGAATATGCATAAACGTGTTTTTGCTTTTCGTGAATTTAATGATCGTCACACCGCTGAACATATTTATATTTTAATTGAGTGTATTTTAATTGAGTATAATTTGATTGATAAAGTGTTTGCTATAGGTTTTGATAATGCTACTAATAATACTGTTGCTATACCTAGATTGCGTGAATTGTGTGGTTCTAATAATATGATGGGTAGATTTTTTCATCAACGATGTGCATGCCATGTTATAAATTTATGTGTGCAAGACGGTCTAAAAGTGTTAGGAGATGCTATGGACGTAGTCAATGGGGGGATTAGACGTATTTGGGCTCATGGTCAACTTAAATTAAAATGGAAAAATTATTTGACT